GGGGGGGGGGGGGGGGGAAAAAACCCCCCCCAGCCACTATTCAGGGAGGACCAGAAGTGGGTTCTTCAGAAGTCCTAGAGCAGCATCTGGTATCATATGACGGCCCTGACAGGGGTGAGTGGTGGCAACCGCAGGAGGAGGAATGCCCAAACAAAGCTGGCTCAGCAGAGCCTGAACTCTTACCGGGGACAAGACCATGGATACCGGATGCAGCCAGTGTGGAGTAGAAGAGTGGTGAGCCTGGGGAGAGAGAGAGAGGAGAAAAACAGTCAGATGCTGTGAGTCGATACTGGAAACAAAGGGAGCACACCTGGGAGTAAGGCATCCAGGGGCAAATAGGAAGCCAAACCCGCTGATGTGAGGCCTGAAACAGGATGGTACGCTGTCTAAACTGGACTGTGACTATGTAAGGGCTAAGGCCCTTACTGTGGTGAGCGGACTTTGTCTCAGCTGCAGCCAAGGAGCAACATCTCTGGTTGGCACAAGGCGGGGTGTAGGGGAGGCGGAGCCCTGAAACAGGAGTCCAGGCTAGAGTGCCAAAGGAGGGAACCAGGGGAGGCAGGATTTAAAAACATCCTCCCAACAATAAACAGTACCAACAAGACATGGCAGGAAAGAATCCCTGGAGACCTTTCAAGGTATCGGACTGGAAGACAGGCTTTCGACCCAAAAGGAGACAGCTGCACCCAAATGGCCAGAAAGGGTGAAGTGTGCTAGTGAACATCATAGGAGGTTACAGAATAATACAAGGGCTACTTCAGAATATGCAGAGACACTGCTAAAGTTATTTTTCCCCTTGGTTAAACATATGCAAGTGTATTAATTCAGTAAATCTTAGTTTTCAAAATCCTGAGTTTCAACTTGATAGTAGAATTAAATAGTTTGTTTTCAAATGTATGCATTTACAATTGTGTGTGGTTTAGTGGTGGAGGGATAAGGACATATGTCATACTTTTCTGCCCAACATTTGCTGAAAAGCAATGTAAAATATAGGCTTAAGTACTGGATAAATAAATAGAAACTTTTATGAGATTTATGTAGTTTTGGGTTTTTTGAACAATTTAGGTTTAAAACAGTTTCTTGGCTACCCTCTGCTTGTTTGTACAAAGAAGCAAATAAGTGAATATCCTTCACCCTTAGAGTCATTGCCCTTAGGGAAGTCCATTGAATTGATAACCTGAGTCCAGCAAAGGGTCCAGCCCTAGGAGAAGGCCCCTCACATCCTGCCAATCAGAATTGGCAGCATGGGGGTCATTATCCTCTGGTGGGAATCTTCCTGCCTCCTGCTGCAAGAGAACAGCCCCCGCTTTTTGCATTTCCCCTTTCCCCAACACTCCTATAGAAACCCTGTGGTCTTTCATAGGAGTGTTGGGGAATGTGGGGCATACTCCTGTAGCAGAAACCCATGTTGGGAGGGTTCCTTCCATAGGAGAGTGCCCTCCATCTGCCAGTGAGGTGATTGGCAGAGGTAGGGTACAGATTTTTCAGGGCAGGGTCCCTATAGAACTCTCTGATAGCTCACCCTGGGTGGCTGAGAGGGAGACAGTCCTTTCATTCCCTTCCTGTCCCTGGGAGGCAGAGCAGAGGACTGTGGGATATTGGGTGTTCTCCATACCCGAGAGAAATGTATAGTCATTCAACTTAGATTTGGAGAAAGAAGATCTTCCTGGTAAGTGTCCAGTCTAACTCTTGGGAAGAACCAGTTCTCTTTCACAACAAATCCCTTGAACAGCTGTATGTTCTTTTTTGTATCAGGAGAAAGGCTTTTCTCCCAGCACATAGGTAACACTTGGCATTCAAAATTATAAAAAATGTAGGCAGTGTAAGAGATGTGCAAAACCAACATTTTCACTTTAATTGGAATACAAAACTGATTAATCATATGCATCTTTGCTTGTGAACTGAAATTTATAATGTATTCATTTTGTCTTTTGATATATTTGCCTAGCTCTTTTGACAGTAGATTTGTTTATCAACAAAGAGGACTTGGACCAATTGAACAGAACACAATTCTTGTAACAGACCCAAGTAATGCGGCAGTACTTCATTCTACAGGGAAAAATTTGTAAGTTTTATTTACTTTTATTAATATTTTTTGCATTTTCTTCCTGAGAGTCTGAACCCTTCTAATCTGCCTATTCAGGGCTTGTGTCACATCCAGTCAATTTCTCAGTCAGGTCATTTAAAAAAAATCAATAGCTATTGCCAACAACCAGTAACTAACTAACGATGCCACTAAACTGTTACTCTGTAACAATCAACATCCTTTCATCTGTTGTCCCAAATAAACAAAAAATCAGGTAAAACAGGCTTGTTTACTGCAGGGTACCCACAGGCTGCCAGTATTGGGCTCTTATGGACATAAAGGTAGCAAACAAAATCTAGACCTGAAGGCCTTTCACCAGGAATGTTGTACTATTCACTCCACAATATAAATTCTGGATAGTCAGCTGATAGCTAAAGTTTGGTATAGAGATATCTCTTATAGATTCAGGTCACTCAAATCTCTGTAGATCAGAAATGTCAATCTTTTCTGGCCTGCAGGCTGACTCCTGACCACAGGGCTTTCTTAGGAACATAATAATATAGGAAATGCCATGTTGGGTCACACTAATGGTCCATCTAGCCCAGTATCCTACATCTGACAATGAGAGGTGCTTTAGAGAGAGAGCATGAAGAGACTGTATCTAGAATGGTCTAACCTGTGTCTTACCCTCCCTAACATCCACCTTCATTGGTTTAGAGATGCCAGAAGATGTATGCCTGACTGCTCTATTTAACAGCTTTTAATGGATCTGTTGTCCATGAATTTGTCTAGTCCTTTTTTGAACCTGGTTGTACTGTTTAGGTCTGCAACCTCCTGTGGGCAGTGAGTAGAGCTATGCAAAGTTTTGGTTACTGATGTGATTTGGCAGAGTTTTGGCTTGATTCGGTGGCAGAATCTCTGAATCCGAATCGAATCAGGAGACCCTTTAATCTCCAAATCGATTCAGAGAGATTTGGAAAAATTTGATGATTCGGACATAGACTCAGCTTTAAATGTTTTTTTCAACATACCTCAAGGTACCAGGCAGCTTGTGAATGCTGAGGTGGTGGGGCGGATGGAGCATCCCACAGGAGTGTTGGAGGGTCCCCAGCCCTCTCAGCAGCAGACCCGGAACTGGACCAGAAGCACTTCCAGTCCACTTCTACCCCCCCCCGGTGCCTCCCTGGCTTGGAGACAGGTGCCTCCAGGGTCTGGGGAGACTGGTGCCTCCCGGGTATGTAGAAAAAACATTTCAAGCTGTGTCTAAGGCCAAATCACTGATTCTCCAAATCAGCATTGAATCTTCAGATTCAGATTCAGCCGAATAGAATCGGGGACAGTGATCTGAATCAGTGAATCAAATCACTGTCCCCGGATTCGGGCCGAATCTGAATCAAATACAGCCTGTTTTGCACACCCCTGGTGGTGAGTTATGCAAGTTAACCATGCACTGTATAAAAAGTATTTTCTCTTGTTAGTTTTAAACCTGTTTCCTGCTTATTTCAGTGGTTACCCTGTGGTTTTAGTATTCTGGACCTCTGTTGTATCCTCCCTGGTCCTTGTTTCCAGACTGAAGAGTCCTAGCCTTTTTAATCTCTTTAGATATGGCAGAAAAGTTTTATGCTACATGCTTGATATCTCTGATCATCTTGGTTGCCTGTCTCTGTAGTGTTTCTATTTCTTCTGCATCCTTTTTTAAATGTGGACCAAAACTGTACACAGTATTCAAGATTTGGGCAGACCATGGATTTATGTAGTTGCATGATAGTTTTCCATTTTGTTTTCAATTCTATTCTTAATAATGCCTAACATTTTATTGGCTTTTTTGGTCATGGCTGTGCATTAAGCTGATGCTTTTAGGGAACTTTCTGCAATGACTCTAAGGTCTCTTTCCTGAATCATAACAGGTAGTTCAGAACCCACCAATGTATATGCATAATTGAGGTTATTTTTTCCTGTGTGTGTTACCTTGCCCTTATTGCCACAGAGGTTCATCTGCTTTTTTTTGCCCAGTCACTTAGCTTTGTGAAATCTTTCTGCAGCTCCTTTTTATCAGCTTGGGATTTAACTATCTGGAATGATTTAGTATCATCTGCAAAATTAAAGGTTTCACTGTGCACTCCAGATTATCTATGACATTTTTTAATAAAACCAGGTCCAGCACACAGATCTTTGTGGAATGCCATTTTTGACCTTCCTCCCTCCTGAAAACTGACTGTTTAACCCATGGGTTAGATCCAGACTCTGGACCTTTCCGCAAGCCAAACAACCTGCCAGCAGCAGCATTAATCCCCATGACTGCTGGAGCCACTGTTTCAGTACGGCTCCAGAATTCAGGGAATTAATGCCAATATCTTCCCTCCCCACCCTTTTCTTCTGTTGCTGATCTTAATTGCCAGGGGTGACAAAGACCTGATTTTGGTGGCAGGTGTGGAGGAAGGGAGGCAAGCAGTGTTAACTCCATGGGTTCAGCAACTGTGCTGAAACAGCAGCTCCAGGAGCTGTGGAGATAACCACCACCATCACAGGGGCTCTGACAGCCATGATCGTGAACCCCATGGGCCATATCCAGCCCACAGGCACGTGTCCAGTCTGTGAGAAACCCCATGGGCCAGATAAGCCAGCTCAGTGGAGCTTATCCAGCCTGCATGCTGTATGTTTGATACCCCTATTATAGACAATGAGCAAAATCTTCAGTTATTCTTGGAAGAAAATTAGGCACCAACACAGAAAACAGAACTATGACATATCATAACAGAACCATAGGTCACCTCATATCTTTGATATAGTTCTTTTAAATTTGTTGCAGATTTTATTTACCACATGGCTTGAGTATAGACAAAGATGGTTACTACTGGGTCACAGATGTGGCTCTCCATCAGGTATGTGTATTGCTCTTCTAGAAGTATTATAGTAACATTGTTATCGTAAAACTTTCTTGAATCTGTACATTTTACTTAAGATTATCAAGTTTTTCTGTGGCAGTTAGGATAAACACTAATGTCCATATGAGCATGGATGTTTGTTTCCCTGGGAACAAGAAGCAGCAGCACACCTTGTGCTGCTGCACCTTGTCTATGGGGAACACCTGCGCCATGCATCCTCTGGTGGACATTAGGTTACCCTGGGTGGTGTGGGGGAGGCGGGAGCCAGCACTGGGCTAGCCCCAGCAGCCTTAGCTGGGGTCCTGGGAGCCTCCTGGGGCTGCAGCAGTGTCTGGCTGGCAGCTGGAGCATGGCTCTGGCTGGCCAGGCTCCAGTTTTGGGGAGTCCACGCTGTCCCCGCATGTACCACCCTGCTTTTTTTTTGGCGCAGGTTTTATTGATCCCGCGATCTCCTGGTGTCAACCCCCCATCCCCCCCAGGCTGCTACCTTGCAGCACAGTGAATGTGTGATATGTAGCACCACAGGTGTGTCTGCAGCACCACATATGGCATGGCCACGCTTGTCTGGACACAGCCTGAGAGATTGTCTGTATTGTGAAAGCAACCAGCATAGCTATAATAGATTGAGTTATTCTGAAATAATTATTTATGTGGACACTTTAATTCCAGAATAGAAGCAACTTTATAGCTTTCCTGGTCAACTTCCCAGTATAGTGAAACACTAAGAGTTCAACTGGTTTTTTTGGTGCAATAAGTGAGGATTTAGAGCTTATGCAGAAATTTTCCACAGTCAAAATCTATACAAACTTGATAAGAGATTTCATAATAGGACTGATGTATTTGAATCCTGTTTTTTTCATATGTTTTTCTACAAGGCAGTTTTATATATTTTCTATATACAATTACAGTTATATGAACCTTCGTATTACATGATGCATTTTATAAGTTGAAACTTTACTCTTTTCTATTACTTTGAAAGGTTTTCAAGTTGGGAGCACATGATAAGGCTCCCTTGTTGACTCTAGGAATGGCTTTGCAACCAGGCAATGACAAAAATCACTTCTGTCAACCCACTGATGTGGCTGTGGATCCAATCACTGGCACCATTTATGTTTCTGATGGCTACTGCAACAGTCGGATCGTTCAGTTCTCTCCAAACGGACTGTTCATCATGCAGTGGGGAGAAGGTATTGATTAACCCTCCTGGGGCACCTATACACGTGCAGAGAGGCTGCTCCAACACGTTGTAATTATAACATGTCAGAGCAGACTCAATTAATCAAGTGTGCTGAAGCGTGGTAATTTTTTTTTTGTTTTGTTTTTTTTGTTTTTTGTTTGTTTTTTATTTTACTTTTAAGAGGCGTTTATTCCAGGGAGGGTGACAAATCGGGGCCAGTAAAGAGTATGTACAGGTTGGCCCAAACACCTGGGCCTCACGGACATGGTCCTGGGCTCACAGCCTGCAAGGCCTGCCCGTACACTCTAGATTAAAAAAAACCATAGTGAGCCAAATGACTATTTACATATTTACATTTCTGCCAGCAGGGACACCCATGGGGGGCCTCAGGGCTCGACCCGCGTGAAGCAAAGTCCAAGGCCTCGGCCCGCTGGACGCATCGCCGCAGCTTGAGCAGCCGGGGGTGTAATTGCCACACTCCAGCAGACTCCAGGGTCATGTGTATCAGCCTCCCTGCTCTGAAAAAGGACAGCCAGGGTGCTTTAACTAAAGCTTGTTGAATGAGCTTTAGTTAAATGCCCCCACCACCATGTTTCAGCGCAGGGATGCTGATACATGTGACCCTTGGGCACTTTAATTAGAGTGGCTCTTAAAGCCACTCTAATTAAAGTCCCGCCCCGTGCACATCTATAAATACCCATGGGGTGCAGACAGAAGTGCTGTAACTGAAAACATTTTGCAGGAAACATTTTGGACACCCTGAAACAAATAAAAGTTCACTGTTGGTTCCAGTGGGGGGAGAAATCTAGCTGGTAGCTGTGTGCCTGCAGCCTCTTTTCCCCTAGCAATGGCCCCTGCTCCCTGCAAAGCTGCAAAATTTTCAAAAGGGGAGGGGGGGGAAAGGGAACTCATTTTAGGGGTTCCCCAGTCAGCACTGGAGAGTGGGGTGGATGAATTGGAGCCTCCAGGGGCTGAAACCTCCCCATATCAAACTCCCTCCATTCCCTTTTGCCCCTCCTGTTCTCCAAACAGCAATAGGATGTCAAGCAGCGCAGACAGATATTACAGAGGATGCTCTGTTTTGAAATGTCTTCATCTAACCTCTCATGCAATGACGAGTCTGATTTTCACTAGATTGGCCATTTTTGAAGCTGTCTACAGCTGTGCACTTGTTTGGCCAAAGCTACAAACTGCTTTCTGTGGCCAGCTAAGGGGAAAACTATCACTTCTGTCTGCACCCATGATGCTTAGCTGAGATTACTGTCATCACAGATTAGGAAATAGAGCATATACAAGACTGTTATGATTGTTACTGTTGTTTATTTCTGTTGCAAGCAGCTTAACAGATCCTGGTAGAGAACTGGGTCCTTATTGTTATCTTTTAAATTTCATTATACAGAGTTCTAGACACTGAGATATAAATATTTTATGTTTGTGTTCTTTTAAAAAGTAGAAGGAAAAAAGTATATGTGTATTCCAGAGAAACTAATAAACATAGCTTTTCAATAAAGTATCTATTTTTGTAAATACAAGGTTTTTTCCTTAAATAAAGATTTAAGGTTTTAACTTTAGTCTCATTAATTCCAGGAAAAAAATAATTAAATTTCTTAATAACTCAGTTATGTACATGGACTTCTATTCTTTGTCAGACTTTTTTGAAGAAGCCACTAGTCATATAGATTCATAGATTGTAGAGTCGGAAGTGACCACAATGGATCATCATGTCCGACCCCCTGCCCCTGGCAGGAAAGAGGACCGAGGTGAGATGACCCCAGCCAGGTGACTATCTAGCCTCCTCTTGAAGACCTCCAAGCTAG